GGCCGCGAACGCGGACCCGTACGCCGCCGCCTCCCCGCCCTCCAGCCGCTTCAGGTGGCCGCAGAGCGCGTCGATGATGGCGTTCGCCGCCGCGAACTCGCCTCGGAACCACGCGATGATCGCGTCCTTCGCGTACACTTCCGGCGCCGCCGCGACCATCCCGGGATGGGCCTGCTGCGGCTGCGGAACCACCACCGCCGCCGCCGCCGCTGCCGGAAACACCACCGGATTCATTGGAACCCGATCTCCCTGCGCCACCACACCCGCCGCCGGCGGCATCCTGTACAAATTTCAGGTGAAAACACAGAAAAATCCAATCTTTTTTCTTCCTCAGTACCAAGTAAGACGCATGCTTGTCCGGCGGTCTGTGGGTATTGGATTTTTTTGTTAAATTTTGAATTTTTCTCACTGGAAAATGTTTTCTGGTGAGGTTTTGCAGATCGAAGAAGGAAATAGGCAATGGTGAAAGCGAAGGGTTTGGGGTTTAGGCGGATTTTATATGGTGGCGAGCGGAGAAAATGTCCGTACCTGTGGGGGCCACGTGCTGACATGTAATATTATTTTCCTTCTGAAAATGAGGTGGCATTATTAGTAATATTTTTAAATCGAACCGAGCTGAGCTGAGTAGTTGAGCTTGTGGTTGTGCAAGAAACAAGTCGAGTCGAGTCGAGTCGAGCCACATGCTGACCTTTAACTTTTAAGAATATTTTACAATAATGAAGTTGCATTGTTGGTAATATGCACGCAAAATAAGATTATCCGAACCGAGTCGAGCTGAGTAATTGAGCTTATGCTCGTCGTTTAATAAACGAGTCAATTCGACTCGGCTTGGCTTATTTAATGAACGTGTCATAGGCTAACCTCAATTTAAACTCATGAAAGTTCGATTCAACTTGTTTATTATCAAACAAATTCGATCCAACGATTTTTTCTTAAAATTGTAAAAAGAATGTAAAAAAAAATGAGTTAGTTAGTTCCCTTATTTAAATTTTTTTTTTTTAATAATAATTCTGCTGAACTTACGCATAGCCAACTGTTATTGTACATTACTACAATATTAATTTTGAATTGTGAAATGTGATGGGCCGAGGACTAGGCTAAAACTTACCCAAAATTATTATTATTGTTATTATTATTATTATTATTATTATTATTATTATTATTATTATTATTATTATTATTATTATTATTATTATAAGGATGAAATAAAAAATGCATGCCACAATTTTAATCATTTGGTTCAATACCTCCCTAATTAATCAAGGATTCATGGTGAATTGATCAAGGATCCAATGTTGAATTAATTACTAGTCAATGAATATGTTTTTTCATGTGTTTTAGAGAAGACGGCTTGTTTTAGAAACTATGAAAATAAATTTTTTGAGATTAAGAAAGAAAATGAGAAATGGTCAATTTGTGTGCAATTGGAGTGACAATCACTGTATGGGATGATTATTTAGTGTGGTTCGGTGCAAAACTTTATTAAATGGAGAAAATGTCAATCGTAAATTTTTCAAATTGGACTATTGAGCAATATACAAAAAATCTTGAATCGAACCCCAACAAAAATTTTCCTACTTAATCTCATTAAATCGTACCGAATTGCATGGTTTGACTCTCTAACGAGCATAGCTCCAGCTCCTAACAAGCCAGGAATCGAACTTGGGCTCGACTCGTTTATCAATATTAACGAGCCAAATCATAAAAAAATATACACAAAAAAAAATCTCATTTCGAACTTTATCGACCGAGTTGAGCGGTGCCCGACTCGTTAATTAAACAAGCTTTACGCGAGCTCGAGTTCCGCTCGTTTAAGCTAAACTCAAACTATAATACAATAAAAAAAATCGAATCAAACCCAAATCAAAAATTTTCGAACACTAAAATAATCGAATCGAATCGCGCAGGAGGAATTACACACCCGGCTCTGTTATTTTTATCTTCGGCTCAGCTCTACTCGACTCGACTCAGTCTTATGTATATTTAAGTTTGAGAATGGTTTTAAAGTTTAAAGAAATTTGTGGGTTTCAAAAAATGCAAGAGTGGGTAAATAGTGACCACCGAAAGGGCGGGCCACATTAGCTAGGCACATGCAGATGGTTCAATTACCGCCACCAATAGTGGCTTAAGACACTGTTTAAGCCGAACTCACCCCCACCACTTGTCGGCTTAAAGCCATATGCCCTCTTCAAGCTTCTATCTATGTACAAGTTTTGGAAATATCGAGAATGAAAAATAAAAATAAATTTTGTTATATATATATATATTAATTTTAACTGAAAAAATGTGATAAAATGAAACCATCAGCTCCACATTTTTCGCATTTTAATTATTTTAAATAATTTAAATAGTACTAATGATGGTAGACTGACCTTATTGTTAGGGAGTTATATTTTTTTTTTAAAAAAAAAAAATATTATTTACTTCATTGGGAGCACTATTGAGTTTTGTTTTTAAATCTATATATATATAATTACTAGCTAATCCTATTTAATAAAACATTTAATAAAAACATTTCACTTTCCCTCCAAAAGGAGTTACATTTTCTTAATTAATTACTCACTAACTCACATTTAAGAAGGTTTTTTTTAGTTAAACCTAATTAGTTAATGGCTAAATTAAAAAAGTTTTTTTTAGTTAATCCCACATTTATGTTTCTTATTCTCATTTATATATATAAACGTGTCAATCATTATTGTTGTGCAGAAACTATATATTATTATTTTTTATTCCATTATAAATTGAATAAACAATTAAAGTTATAAAAAATATTAATAAATGTAATAAATACAAACATTATAGTACAGATCATGTTACATTACAATATAAAAAATGAAATTATTTTTTTTTTTTTAATTTAATTTCCAGTCATACTCCATCAAACATATAGCTGCAAAATGATAAGAAAGATTAGTTTCATAATTAAAATAAAAAATTAGCTCCTCCAAATGGTAAAACCTTATAAATTAGTATTATAGATACATTTAAATGACATGTAATTTATAAAGTTAGACTATACGCATAATAAGATGAATTAAAAAAAAAGTTATGAAGTAAATAAATAAATTAACAGTATATATAATTATTATAGCAAAGTCTATATTGTCAATATTATCATTTAAAAAGTTAATTGACAAAACATATGTATAAAAAAAAGTCATATGATCATAATTAATAGTGCAAAATTAACTATCTTTGACTTTTCATTTGGTAGTAATAATAAAATATTTCATATTACTACTATTCATTAAAATGCATGAATTCTGCAGATTTGATTATCGCAATCAACATTCTGTTTTATAAATTAAAAAGTGTGCTGAATAAATTGCCTCATATTTTCCATTAAAACAAAAACTGTTGGCCGTGAAAAAAAAAAATTATTTCAAAATTATAAATATAAATATGATTAATTTTCATTAAAAAAATCCTCTTTAAGAAAAAAGTGGCGGGACAAATTTTTGCATGATTATAACATCAAACATATCCAAAACATCAATATTTTAAGGCGTTAAAACCATACTTTCAGCAACAAAAAAGTCATATTAAACGGAAATTGGCAAAGTCAAAGAATGAGGATTGACAAGGCATTATATGTAATGACAGATTGTTGTATAATATAGAAATATCAAGCATAATTAATAATCCACAAAAAAAAGGCAAACGTTGTATATAAAAAATTGATAGAAAAATCACAAACATTGTATATAAAGAATTGTTTAACAATATTTAGTTATTCTTTTTTAGAACATCTTTCCAATGATTATATTATGATTTTTACTATTGTTTATATCTTTTTATTATTTTTTGTTCTATTATAATGCTTTCCGTGCAAATGCACGGGTTAAAAAATAGTTGGATATAATTACTTAAAAGAAAAAGAAGCTCCAATTTCCAAAATCGATGAGATTTTATTATTCTTCTTAAAAAGCACATAGTAATTAAAGTAAGTTGCTATAAAAGTAGCTTTATTAAGGAATTTATGCGAAGTTACTGTCCACCGGTTATTTTTTATAAAATAATAAAAATTTTATATGATAAAGTATTCTATTTTTGATCTCCCAAACATTTGTGGATATTTGAGTAGAATATAATAATATATTTTGATTGTGTCCTCGAATATGCTAACACAATTCATAATCCATTGGCTTTTATTTATTTATTTATTTATTTTTATCTAATATACCTTATAAATTAACAAGATTGAATGCTTTTATATCTGATTTGCATAAATAAGCAACATAATGATGATTCAATTTTATTTGTAGCTTACAAATATGTTTCTTAGTAGGCAATAATTTAGTTGTGTTATATTTTGTGACAACAAGTATTAAAACGATCTTATAGTTTTAATGTTAGGCGGTACTATTTAATTTTTATAACAATTCATATTGAAACATAGTTTGATTCCCATGGTATGTCGCCCCTAAAACAATGACAAAAAATTCCATCAATAACGTTATTCAATATTTTCAAAAACAGTGTTAAACTTTTATATGTGCTTAATTTAGATTTTTGTTCAATTTTTCCTATTTGCTTTATGTACTTTCTCCAATTTTTATATTTTCATTATAAATATGTTAGGTATGTTTAGAATCTAAGGCATATCAAGACATGAGTGAATAATGTTTGAAAACACTTAATAAAATTAATAAATAATTAAAGTTTTGTGGTGAAATTTATAACCTAACTTTGGAAGAATTTAAATAAAAAAAAGTTAAATTAAATAAGTTTGATAAGAGCTGTTCAACGAAACGAACTGCTAGAAAGTTTGGCTAGTTAAACTCGAACTCGATTCGACTCGATTGATAGGGGAGCAGAGAACATGAGCTCTTTTAATTAACAAGCCACTCAGCTCGTTAGACATAGAAATTTTACGTAATTTATATACTATGCCTCATGAAGGCTTGAACACGACTAGTTTATATTGATAAACGAGTTGAGTTTGAATTCATTTATTGACTCACTCGATAAAGGCTCAAACTCGACTCATTTATACGCTTCCCAGCCATAAACCAATTAAGAATTCATAACCAATCCTCATACTTAAATATATAGCAAAAGTAAATTAATATTTAGAAGATGTAAATTAATTAAAACATATATACAAGTCCAATCAATCTCATAGTTGGTGTTGGGAGCCTAAAAAGAGTTCTAGAAGAAAATGTTTTTGTTGAAGCCGATTACAAGCCAAGCCGATTAACCAAGCCGACAAAAGTTATGAGATCCGTTTTCCTTTTTTCGGGCATAAAGTCAACAAGATTGCACATGACATCCGCTAC